GAAAGCCAGACCAAGGCACCGGAAGGACCTAGTTCATTCATTCCGAGGGTCTCTGAGTTTCCGCTCTGAGCCAGCTGCTGGCATAGGTGGCAGTGAGGCTCCGGCTGTGAACGGGACGGACACAGCCTCTGTTCTCCTGGGGCCTAGAGAGGGAGCAGGCACACAGGTGAGCAAATAAACTTATAAATGTAGCTGCTGGGGAGAAACTTTACAGCACAGATATGAAAATAGCAGGATGTGCCAATTCAGGGAGACAGAGAAGGAAGACAGTATTGTGGAGAAGTCACCTAAACGAGATCTGACTTGGGCAGGGGGCAGCTTGTGCGTATGTGTGCATGCGCGTGCACACACACGTGTGTGGTGGGACTTCCCGGTGGAGCACGGTGGGACGAGGGCTGCGTGTTCCGATGCTGCTGCTCATAGTCCCTTGCTTGACCACAGGAAGCTATTTAAGGCTTCTAATCCTGATTCTTCCTCTTGCCATCAGGGTGAAGGCCGTCGGCTGCTGGGGCTGCGGCCTAACTGAGCTCTCTCCTCCTGCCCCAGCCTGCTCCCACACTCCCTTCTCCTTCGAGTGCCCCGTCCCCCGAGTAAACACCTGCCTCACTGGAGCCTCAGCTTCCAGGGAACCGTTGTTCTGCAACAACCTGGAAAGCACCAGCATGGTGCCGGGCACATACTAAGTGTTCTGTGAGAATTTTACGTGATTGTTATCACCTTTAATTTTATCCTTATAGGTGAGACTGATGTGCCTGTAAGACGCGTGGGGGCCAGGACCAAGTATATCCTGTGAAATGTCTGGCTCGTGGTAAAAGTATGATGACTAGCTAGTCCACGTTCATGGGTAGGAATGTTCAATATGTCACTTCTTTCCAACTTGGTCTGTAGGTTCAACATAATCAAAACTCCAACAAGTTTTTCGGTGGCTATTGATAAACTGATCCTAAAGGCTGTATGGGAGGCAAAGGCCTAGAATAGCCAGCACTGTGCTGAGGAAGAACGAAGTCAGGGGGCTGGCGCTCCCCCACTTCGAGACTTACTGTAATGCCACGGTTATCAGGATGGTGTGGTGTCAGTGAAAGAATAAACACGCAGAAATGGGGCAGAACAGAGGGCCCAGTAAAGAGACCCACCCAAAGAGAGTCAAGTGGTCTCTGACGAAGGAGCCAAGGCAGGTCAGCGGAGGAAGCATAGTCTTTTCCCAAGTGTGATGAGTGGCCACTACCTCTCTGGGGAGGAGAAGGAGGGAGATGGTCAGGGTGATGTAGCGGAGGTGACCAGTCCTGGCTGGGAAGGCGGGAGCCTGCAGCCCCATCTGGCCCGGGGCCGGGTGAAGGGTGCTGCCTTCACTGAGGTGAAGGACCGTGTGTGTGTGGGTGACCAGGGCCACTGGCATCATTACAGTGACTGTTACTTCATTGTCTTTCTGTTGCCCGTGGTTTTCCCTCTCTCTGACGTTGTGTGTGTGTTAGTATCTCTCTCCTTGTCTTGGTGGCTGGTCCTCTGTTCCTGTCTCGTGGCTCTGTCCCTTTTACCCCGTTTGGCTGTCTTCAGTTGTCTTCATTCAAATCTATGTGCCTTTCTGTGTCTCTCCCTCTGTCCCAGTCCCAGGTGTGTGCCCGTCTGTGGCCCCATCTCCCTCTGTCCCCTTCCTCTTCCAACAACTATTCATCAGGCTGCACTGTATACCACCATCTTTGCTTACAGTAAAGATACAGTGGTGAGGAAGACAGCACCATCGTGGGGAAGAGTTCTGAGTCCACGGTTCACACCCGTAAGCACAGCCTCTGGTCACTGCTGTGTGGAGAGGGGGTTGGTCTGTATAACAGAAAGGGTTGGAAGGTTTTCTGTGAGTTTGGTGGTGATTGGACTGCAACTGGAAGAGAGAATTTGGAGCTAAACAGGCTAAGAGCATTCCTAGCAGAGCCAACAGCATGTCTGGGGTTCTGAGATTGGGCCGGTGTGGCTGGAGCATGTAGAGGCCAGCCCTGGGCCTTGGTTCTCAATCCTCACAGCACTGGACACTGTAGAAGGTTTGCAGATCGGACTGCATGAGCATACCTGCATTTTATAAAAGTGGCTCCGGGGTAACTTCAGGCCACTTCAGAAGACCAAGTGGGATAGAGCAGGGGTAATGGCAATGGATAGAAGGTGACAAGTTCAAGAGTGGTTTAGAAAGTAGAATTGATCAGACTTGGTGATTGCCTGAAGACCATGTTGCATTATCTGAAAACTGTTTTTAGTTACACGCATGTGTCATATTTTTATCATAATGTTGAGGCAAAGAAAACTCACAGTAGGCTGATTCAAAGATTTCCTCTTAGAGCTATTTTATGGGGAAGGAGACTGGTTAGATAATCATCATTAGACTAGATAGGAAATAATAACGAATATTCGCTTAAAGTCACTAAGCTCTTGACTGGCAGTCAACTGGGTGGGTAAGTAATTTCTGAGAACAGATGTTCAATACCTTTCGGGTTCTTAGGTGGTTGCAAAAGCAGTTAAATCATCAATGCTGATTTCCTTCTAGAAGGCTGTGAATTTCAGAACAAACAGGATCTGTGTTTTGCTGCTTGTTTTGTTTGGTGGACTGAGGATACAGAGAAGAGATCAGACTGCCAGATTTCAGGGTTGGGTGAAGAAAGGGGATATGACCCCTACCCTTCTACCTGCCCAAGGTTTCTGGACACCAGTCCCCCCTAATAGGGCCGCCCATAGTTGATCGGTGGTTTTTAAAACTTTTTATTTTGAAATGATTTTAGATCCCTGCAGGCATTGCAGAAATAGGACAGCGTTTCTGTGTTCTGTTCATCCAGCTTCCCTCAGTGGTAAAGGCTTTCATAACCATAGTTATCAAACCCAGGAAATTGGCGCTTTACAATATTATGAAACACACTACAGGCCGCAATTGGTTTTCACTATTTTTTACATGCAGTCGTGTGTGGTTGTGTTTTGTCCTGGAGTTGGTGTAGTTCTATGTAATTTTATCACATGCATAGATTTGTGTGACCGCTGTCACACTAAGGATGCAGAACACATGCTGTTTGCTTAGAGCCTTTTCACATCACTTTATGACCCTGGTCCCCCAAAGCATTTGCAGTTTAGTTAGATCCTGGTAAGAAAGCAGCAGGCTTAGTTCATTCCATCCTTTCTTCTACGGTTTTATTCTCTGCACCCACACTCTAGTTGCTTCCTGTAAATGGCCATGAATCTTTTTTGCTCTTGTTACCAAATAAAAAAGAGGGTTTTGGCTGCCTGTCACCATAACATCCAAGCTCGTGAGGCAGGTGCTGGTGAAAAAGGAAGGAGGTTTTATCCTGGTACCGGGTGTTCTGGGAGAATGGCGAACTCCCTGTCTCAAAGCCTGTCTCCTCAGCAAGACCAAGACAAAAGCCAGTGCCCAGAGTTTCTGCTCTAATTTAAAGTGCAGTCTTTTGGAGCCCACAGGTGGCTGCTGAGCAGTCATCCAGTAGCTCAGCTTGTTTCAGGTTGCCGCCCGGTTCAAGCTCCCTACAGGGGTCATGGGTGGTTGCTAGGGTTGCAAGATTATGTGCTCCCAGGAGAGATGGCATGAACACACCAGCAAATGCATTTCTAGCTTGGCAAGAGAGTAAGAGAAGCTCCCATCTAGAGGCTGTGGGCCAAGTGGCTGCTAAGGCCACATGGACCATGGACAGAACAGGCAAGTCCACTGTCCGAGTGCAGGTTGAAAGCAAGCCAGCCAATGGCAAGATAAAGAGAGAGAGAGAGCCTCCTTTGTTCCCTAGAGTTTATGTTAGCTCGGGTGTGGGATGGACCAGGGGCTTTCTCAAAAAGACCAATCAGCTTCCCAAACTTGCATGCTTCGGGTCAGTTCTCCTTCCCTTTAATCATTTCTTTCCCCAGGCTAGATTGACAGGCCTCTTTGGTCCTGCACCTCCCCCTGCTGCCATTTTGATTTCTATGGTGCAGGTGCCTGCCTTTTCCCTGCCCAATCTGGTACCAGGAGGGTGGGGAAGGGCTTTTTGCATGCTCAGGGCAGGAACCTCCTCCTGCCGCCACCTTGGCAGGGGGGACGGCTTCCTAGGCGCTGCCAGGCTGTCCACCAGTAACATGTTCCCACTCTGACTCAACAGCGCCGTCGTTCACCTTCTGGACCTCGATTGTCTGCTTCCTTGACCCTAGGTCAAAGCTGAGACCTCCTCCCCTTCCCTCTCTTTTCCAGGAATATCTCTCTTGCCTGTTTTTTTGTTGAGTAGTGAGATGCATGTACCAGGCAGGACTGTTATAGTTGTAAGGGACAGAAACTCATTTCACACTAACCTAAGCAAAAAAGAGAATTTATTGGGTCATATAAGTAGCATGCTGGGGTAGAAGTGGCTTGAAGCTCGACCGGACCCAGGGGCTCAAATAGAGCACTGGGGCTCCATCTTTTTTCCCTACGGACTGAAGTTCTATCAGCCAGGCAGCAGCGGGAGAAATTTTGTGAGTAGGTCTGGCCAGATAAGTCCCAGGAGGCTTCTGATGGGCCTGCCACTGGGCCATGTGCTTGTCCCAGAACTAATCACTGTGCTGGGGCGGGGGGGTGGCACCTTGGTCATCTCCATCTTCAGATTGTTGTGGGGGGAGGTCAAGAGAGATAGACCAGATTCATCTGAAGCATGTGGAATGTGTTCAGCCCAGGAAAAGGTGCTTTTTCAACAGAAAAGGGGAGGAAGGGACCAGTCGAGTTTGTCTCTTTGTAGCAGTGCACAGGTCACTGGTCATCCTATGGCAGGAAAGGGGTCTTCCTTGGGTGGAGGTATAATTCCTCTTTGTTTCTGTTATCTGTCGCTGTAGAACTATTGCAGTACTTAATCATTTTATTTATTTGCACGTAATCCTGCAGTCTGGGCAGGGTGGAGGGGCTGGGACAGCTCGTTTTCATTCTGGGAAGTGAAGGAGCTGGGCTGTGTGTCTGGGGTGCATCCTCAGGGGAGTGAACTCCAGCTTCTAACTGGTTTGCGTTACTTTTCTTTTAGTGGATATCATGGAAATAAAGGAAATCCGCCCGGGGAAGTGCTCCAAGGATTTTGAGCGTGCAAAAGCAGTCCGCCAGAAGGAAGACTGCTGCTTCACCATCCTGTACGGCACCCAGTTCACCCTCAGCACACTCAGTTTGGCAGGTGGGTGCACGTCTGGGTGCATTTCTCCCTCCTTGGTTTCCTTCTTGGGACATTTTCTAGTAGCAGGATGCTGACACCTGCCTTCCCACTGATGTGTGTTTGGGGTCATCATGGTTTTGAATCCTAACCCTGCTCCCTTCCGGCTGCGAACCTTTGGGCAAACGAGTCAACCCCTCTGAACTGCTGTTTGGTCAGCTGGGAAATGGGAGAATTGTAATGCTGGCCTCGGTGCAGTGTTGTCAGAGTTACACTAAGGCTCGTGCTGAGAGCTAGAGGCAGATGACACTTCTGTTCTGCAGAGCCTGGCCTACGCTATTTATTCAGGTTAACAGGTCTGAAGGAACTATCCTGAAATCTGATGTCTCACACGAGTAAGCATGCACATATACACATACATACATGCATACACATGCACACACACCTTCGCCTGTGCGCAAGCATGCGTTTGTGCACACATACACAGACACGTGTATCTGGAGGTGAGATTTCTGGTCATCCATGCTAATCCACCAAAAAGTCAGAAGAAGAGCTGTGAAAAAGCTCAGGCACTTCACTCAGGAGCAGAAGCTTGGAGCGCCCTTCACATCCAGTCCCAGGACTTATCATTGGCTTAGAACTGCAGGCATGGTCACGACTGAAGAGGGAGTGAATAAATACCACTGCAATGGGCCACAGTGACGGACGCTTTGACAGGAGACATTTTATTTAAGGTCACATGCTGTCATCGATTTTATTTGTCTTTCATTTTTTTTTGTGAGGCATCTTTTGAGCGTAGGTTCTGAGCTAGGTCATGCTGGAAGTCCGTGGGGCTCTGAAGATGAATAAGACACAGTTGCTGCCTTTAAGGAGTTCATCGTCTATTTGGGAGACAGATGTGAGGACAGGAGCTGTGATAAGAGCCATAGTCCAAGCATAATGCAGTGTGCTGAGGAGTATCGAGTATCTAATTCCAGGGAAGGCTTTGCAGAGGAGGTGACTTTTAAACTGGGTTTTGAGGCATCGGTACGAGTTGGGAGGAAAGAGCGGAGATGGTCCAGGGAGAAGGCATTGTATATACTAGTGTTTGGATGAGGGAAAAAGCAAGCTGGATATGGGAAACGATGAGTGTATCTGACTGATGGTGCGTAGAGGGTGGCAGAGATGGGGCAGGAGGGAGAGGGGTTCAAGACCGCGAGTCTTCAGAGCTGTGTCCATTTAGCCTCACTTCTTCCTGAGCCTGGCTGCTGTGCTTGGTAGAGAGACCATGAGAACCCAAGCAAGATGTGAAGCCTAGGATACTAGTCTGTCCCACTCCAGGGTTCTGGAGTTCCAGGTCAGGTAGGAAGATGAGCAAGGTTTGGATTCAGATCCCAGTTTCTTTGTTAGTGGCTCTGGGACAGGTATCTTAACCTTCTGAGCCTTGGTTTTCCCCTCACCCGCATGGGAAGAATGAGAGCAGCAATGTTGGCATGGTCCTGTCTGAACTAACAAGCTACCTAGTGGTTGGTTAGACGTTTAATGACTCCACCAGGTGTTTGCATTGCTAGCTCCATTCACTGATGAGAAGATGAGGCACAGAAGGGCTAAGTACCCAGCTGAACGTCACACAGCCTTGAGTGGTGCAGCGGGACTTGGAGATGATGCCAAGCTCTTAACCACCTCTTCCCTTATGGGCACCAGTGTCACTTACTTTCCACCCTCTCTCTGGCCTTGGCTGGAAATGGAAGAAGCTGAGGGCTGCTCAGGATTGTGGTACAAGTTACTCTAGGTCCAGCATCTTACTCATTACCATAGGGTTAAAAGCTAAAACTCTTTTAAAAAAAATAGCCTACTTGTCTCCTCTGCTGTAGGAGGCTCATAATGGGCATGTAGTCTCATCTCAGACAAAAAGCAGGTCTTAGAGTCATGCAGCTATGTAGGGGATGGATGCCTTCTTGGTGCCCTCCTGCAAAACCACACATTGGCACAGGTTTCTCCCTCCCCCATGATCTGAATGGGGCTGGAGAGGTGGGGAGCCAGGGTCTCTACGCTGTAGTCTTCCCAAGGCGTAATTCACTGTTTCTGTTCCTGTTCCTGTTCACCTCGCCAGCTGACTCTAAGGAAGATGCAACCAAGTGGCTCTCCGGCTTGAAAATCTTACACCAAGAAGCAATGAGTGCGTCCACACCCACCATTATTGAGAGGTACTGGCTTCTGCCTGTTATCTGTGTTCACTGATGCCTTCATTTACTCTGCTCCCTTTAGCCAACGTGGGTAAAGGAAAGAAAAATAAGACATTTCATCTTGGAGGCTCATTGAGTGTCCTGTATGTAGTAGGTGCCCAATAGTGGCTGTGGTCTCTCTAATATCTCACAGAAGAGGCTCTCTCGGTATTGAGGCCATGGCCTTGGCCATGGAGTGAGGAGTGCATTGAAACTGAGACAGAAATCTGCCTTGGTGTTGTATTTGAGGGGAGGACCAGAGGCTTCTTTCTTAAAGGATTTGGGAAGGCATTGGCTGACTCATCAAAGGACAGTCAGACGCAAGGTCCAGAATTTTCCACCTGCCACTCTGACAGTCCAGTCAGTGATGTGCATGTCTGGCTGGGATTGGTGTGTGAATTATTGTTCTCCCCCCACCCCCATAAACCAAAGCCCTCCGATGTCCACTACTATTTTACTTACCAGGTCTTTTGGGATTGATGGACATCATCAGAGGGAGTTAACAGTTTAAAGAATGTCAGCCTCTCCGAGCTGAAGGGGCCTCTTGGCTCAGCTGGGGCATTTTGACCACAGGAGGAAACTGCTTTCCAATTTAGAAAGTTGGAAAACTCTTCCAGTTTCCTCTGTCCCTGTCCCATGGAATTCAGACTTGTACTATTTTTTAAATTTATTTTTAGAGAGACAGGAAGGGAGGGAGAAAGAGAGGGAGAAAAACACTGATGTGTGAGAGATACATTGACTGGTTTTCTCTTGCACACCCTCAGCTGGGGACCTGGACCACAACCAGGCAGGTGCCCTGACCAGGAATCGAACCAGCACCCCTTCAGTTTGCAGGCCGGCACTTAGTCCACTGAGTCACTCCGGCCAGGGCCAGACTTTTACTATTTTCTAACTTTCTCTCTCTCTCATCTCCACTGTCTTCCCAGTTGGCTGAGAAAGCAGATTTATTCAGTGGACCAAACCAGAAGAAACAGGTAAGATTCGTTCACATTTTTGTGGTTTTCTCCAGATTGCTGTGGACTCTGCCTTTCATTCTTCCTTGAACTGTTCTAAGGGAGTCGGCTGGATCGTGTTTTGTGCTGTGGAAAGGTCCTCATGAGGTCAGATTTAACCTACAATGAGCTAGACAGCGTCTGGGTGCTGGGGAAGGGTAGTGACAAAATCCTCCTGGGTGGAGCCTCAGTCCCGTGGGAAATTCGAGTCCATCTGCAGAGATGAATTCTCTGTGGCAGAGCACTTGGACCTCGTCGTTTCAGCCCTCACCGCTGAGCCCCTTCTGTGCCCTGGGGAGACTCAGGATCACTGTGGCGCCTGCCCTTGCTTGGTGGCGGGAGAGAGTGGCCACGCAGAAGTAAACCAGGTGAAACAGCGGTGGCCCTAATGGCGGGGCAGACCTGAGACGGCAGCGCGATAACGTGGAATTCAGTGGACTGGCCTGTTTACATAACTGCATCTGGGAGGGGTTCCCTGTCAGCACACACAGGGCTGTGTGCCAGACACTCGTGTGACAAGCGTGGCTGGTCCTTGGCGGCGGCAGTGTAATTTCCTTATGTGTGAGAAATCATTTCCTTCCTGATGGGCAGCAGAGCTGTCCCTGGTCTTTCAGGATCTTTGCGAATAATGCTGCCATGGAGGGCTTTGGGTCTAGATACCTTTTGGTTAACTTGTGTGAGGAGGAGATGAGCAGGGTGACATCCCAGAAGAGGGGTACCAGCTGCACCACGGTGTTTTCTGGTCCAGCATTTTGGAGAGAGGCAGCAGTGCGGGAGGGCTCCCATTTCCCTGCGCCCTGTATCCCTGGGCTCGGGCTTTTGTTAGTGGCTGTGGAGTTTTGCTTACATTTGCGTTTATTTCTGTGTGGGTAAGATTGAAGATCCTCTTGCCGATTTTTTCTTAGGTTCGAGCCAGTTCTTATTAATACGATAATAACTGCTACCATTTCCTGAGCATGCCAGGTTCTGTGCTAAGCATGTTACAATTATTGTCTCTTTGTAGTCTCACCTCAGACCTTTTTTCACTTTGCAAATGTTTTCTTCCCTCCATGAAGCTGTGTCAGTGTCATATATGAGGCGATCAGTAACCTCTATAACCCTCCCTCTTGTTCCTGAAAGTCTTCCCATCTCTAAGGCACTTCCATGTCACGCCAGTGTCCCCTGTCACTCACCAGTCTCAGAGTTTGGGGACCCTTCCACACTCGTTCTCTGCACAGCAACGGCCTGATGTGGACACAGTAACCATGAAGTGCTGAAGAGCTTAGTGATGTTGCCAGGTCAGCCAGCAGTACACTCCACGTCCCTCTGTCTGTCTGTCTGTCTCATTCCCACCCTCCTCCTCGCACCCGGCATTCACTGTGTGGTCCCACATCCTGGGGCCATGCGCAGTGTTAACAGAGGTGGATTGAATGAGGTCCCTGCATTGGAGGATGTAGTGCACACTGGTCTCTTTCAGCCCCAGAGGTGTGCCTCCTGGGAGTGTTTCCTCTCTCAGTGGCTGAGGGGTGACTCATAGTTGAGATTGGCACGGGGTGACCGGTGGAGCCTGCCGGGCCCTCTCTTCATGCCCTGGTTGTACGGAGTTGCCGACTTTGTGCCAAAGTCTGCGTCTCCTACTCCCGTTGTCAGGGAGTGGCTCTCCTGCTCAGCAGGGATTCTTGCAAGTCATTCTTAGAGATCTACCTTTCCATCACCTGGTCCAGAATCTTCAGCAGAGAGGAAGCCTGTTTCTGGACCTTGATCCCTTGTCCCTTGCTTACCGCTCCTCCCAACCTCCTCGCAGTGGGCAGAGCCCTGCCGTCTGTCCACACATGGACTGTCCCACCTTTCCTGTGGTCCTGTGAGGCCCCAGGGGGGTTCTCAAAAGGCACTCGGACCAAGGAGCCAATGTAAGGGCAACTCATTTCTGCCAATTTCCCCTCCTTTCCTGTCAGCCACTACTAACTGGTTTCCTGAAGGAAAACAAAGGAGCAACTGAAGCAAAGGAAAGGCTCAAGACTAGAGGAGGCAGGGCACAGCCCTCGGGCGTTTTCCTTGGCCCGAGCTCCTGCTTTCCTGTTCCACGTCTCTAGAGAAAAATGGCAGCAGCTGGCATTGGTTGAGAACTTGCTTGGCAGTAGCCGTGGTGCTGAGCACTTTACATCCTTATGGAAGGCTGATGGGATGCATGCTCTTGGGCTGGTGAGCAAGGGATCCTTTGATTCATTTCATGAAGACACTGAGGCCAAGAGCAGTTGAGTAACTTGTTTATAGCTCTGGCTGGATAGTTAAGTTGGTTAGCGCATTGAGCATCATCCCAATATGCCAATGTTGTGGGTTCGATCCCCAGTCAGGGCACATACAAGAATCAACCTATGAATGCATACATGAGTGGAACGGCAGTTGATGTTTCTCTCTCCCTGTCTCTCAAATCAGTGAACACAAAATTTAAAAAAAGTAACTTGTCTACAGCAACTCACCTTGTCAGGTGCGGCATCAGGATTTGAGGCTCACCTGTCAGTACTTGACGTTGCCTTTCCTTTATTTATTTTTAATTGTGCTCTCGAAGTCTGGGAAAAGACAAAAACCTTTCCTTCCCCATGCTGACCTAAAAATATTATTTAGCTTGTTTTATTGTGGTAAAATATACATAACATAAAATTTGTCATAGACTTCCTCACTGTTGAAGGTTCTGGACCAGCTTAGAAAGACCTCTCTGAAGGACTGGCAGGAGCCCATCTGAGCCCCTCTGTGAGGTTAAGTGCATTCATTCTGTGCAGCTGTTGCCACCATCTGTCTTCGGAACTCTCTTCATCTGTGAGACTGAAACTCCGTCCCCATTAAACACTCAATCCCCGTTTCCTCCTCCTCCCAGCCTCTGCTGACCTTTATTCCATTTCTGTCTGTGAATTTGACTTTTCTGGTTACCACATATAAGTGGAATCCTACAGTTTTTATCTTTTTCTGACTGGCTTGTTTCACTCAGCATAATGTCCTCAAGGTTTGTTCATGTTGTAGCACGTGTCAGAATTTCTTGGCTTTTTAATGCTGAATAATATTCCTGTGTATGTACAGACCACATTTCATTTATTTGTTCCTCTGTTGGTGGACACTTGGATTACTTCCCCTTGCTGAGTTCCTGCTTCAGATTCGTTTGCGTGTTACCCACAGGTGGAATCACTGGATCAAATGATAAGCTTCAATACTGTTTCCATAGCAACTGCAACCATTTCACATTCCCACCAGCTGTGCACAAGGGTTTCATTTTTTCCCCACTTCTTGTTGACTCTTATTACTTTCTTGCTTTCTAATAGTTGCCCCAATGGGTGTGAAGTAGTATCTTGTTTTGGTTTTGATTTGCATTTTCGTAATGGCTAGTGATGTTGAGCATTTTTCATGGTCTTTTTACCATTTGTATATCTTCTTTTTTTAATTTTAAAAATGATTTTATTTAATTATTTTTAGGGAGAGGGGAAGAGTGGGAGAAAGAGAGGGAGAAAAATATCAGTGGGTGGTTGCCTCTTACATGCCCCCAACTGGGGATCTGGCCTATAACCCAGGCATGTGCCCTGACTGGAAATCAAACCTGTGACCCTTTGGTTCGCAGGCTGCTGCTCAATCCACTGAGTCACACCACCCAGGGCCCATTCGTGTATCTTCTTTGGAGAAGTGTCTATTCAAGTCCTTTGCCCACTGTAAAATTTCACATTATGATTTTGATCCTTATTGAACTTCCAAGCACTGACCCTTGGCTAGGGGACTACACAACCTTTTATTTTCCATTTTTACACTTTCATTTATTGTTTCCTTTGGAAAAAATGCACATGGGTTCTTGTAAAAAAATCTACAGCACAACCAAGTTTATTAGCTAGCACAACCCAGTACCAAATGAAATTTAAGACAACGTGTTTTTCTCAAAGTTTGGAGACAGAAGGGAGGATATGTGGTGTGGAGTGCTTTAGGAAACCTTTAAGGACTAAGGAGGAATTTGATCTGGGAATTTCAGTTTGGGTAGGAATTAGGTATCTAGAGAAGAGCATGAAGTGCCCCTGACACCTTTCTGGGTGTTTATACAGTCTGGTGGTCCTTGTCACTCTCTGCACTATTTCTGTCATTCATCGGTTGGTAGTTTAGGATGTCCTCTAAATTTTCTCAAGTTCCATTGTGTGTCTAAGTTTCTTGTACCTTCATTTTTTTTAATTTAAATTCTTTTTTATTTTTAAATTACAGTTGATATATGATATTAGTTTCAGGTGTACACCCCGGTGATTAGACAGTTATAATCAGACCAGTGATTATAACTTACTCAGAGATCATCCTGATAAATCTCATACCCCTCTGACACCAGACTAGCTCTTACACTATTATTGAGTCTATTGCTCATGCTGTACTTAACATCCCCATGACTGTTCTATAACAAAAAATTTGTACTTCTTATTCCCTTCACCTTTTCCACCCATCCCCCCAACTCTGTCCCACTGGCAACCATCAAAATGTTCTCTGTGTCTGTGAGTCCGTTTCTGTTCTGCTTGGTCATTTATTTTGTTTTTCAGATTCGATTGTTGATGTGTGTTGCCATTTTATTGTTCACATTTTTAATCTTTTTTTCCTTTTTAAAGATGACCTTTAAACCTTTCATGTAATACTGGTTTGGTGGTGAGGAACTTGCTTAGATTTTTTTTTTTTTTGGTCTGGGAAGTTCTTTATATGCCCTTTGATTCTAAATGATAGCTTTGCTAGATAGAATAATCTTGGTTGTAGGTCCTTGCTTTTTATCACGTTAAATATTTCTTGCTAGTCCCTTCTGGCCTGCAGAGATTCTGTTGAGAAATCATCTGACAGTCTTATGGGAGTCCCCTTATATGTAAATAACTGCTTTTTCATTGCTGCTTTTAAGATTCTCTCTTTGTTTTTAACCTTTTGTATTTTAATTAAGTTGTGTCTTGGTGTGGACCTCTTTGGGTTCATCTTGTTTCGAACTCACTGTGCTTCCTGGACTTGTA